TATTTATTAAAATTGTTAGACATTATCTAATAGACATTAACTATTTATTATAAATATATATAAATTATTTTTTTATCATGTTTAAAATTTTTTTAATTTATTTATATTTTATGATCATATTTTCTTTTTTATTACATATTTAATTTAATATTAGATTTTTATATTAAATCAATTTTAATAATTAATTTTTTTTATAATAAACAGATTTTCGAAAAATTTCGATTTTAGGGGATTTTGATGAGAAATTTTATAATTAATGTAAATAATATTTCAATTTTTGCGCGATTTAAGTAAATAACAAAACAACTGTATCGTTCCAGCCAATTAGAGAGCAGCTAGTAAAACCTGTTGCGCTCGGCGTTATTTTTCTGTCAAAAATCATCGTGATGAAATATGTCACCGATTTAACGTGCGTGATTTCAAATAATACACAATAAATAATTCTATTCATATTATTCATATTTACATGTTACTGAATTTACATATTAATTTTAACTTCATTTATTAATAATTTATAAATCATTATAAGAATGAAATTAATTAATATTTTAAATTTCTTTGCATTTTTTTCTTCAATTTTCTATTCGATTGTTGAGGTTACCTGTAATTTATGTTTTTTTGAACCAGAATTTTAATTTATTTGTTGCTTTATTTTAATAATTTTAATAATTTCAAATTTATATATATTGTTTTGTATGATTTTATCATACATTACGACGATTTGTAATTAATGATTTTATATGATATATTAAGTAATATATAATTTCTTTTCATAAAAGCAGAAGTATTTAAAATAAGTTTCCATTGTCTTTTTTTCATTTATATTAAAATAAATATGTATATGTACATATATAATTAATTTATTATAATTTTATTTTATAAAATTAAGTTATTTTAATATCTATAATAAATTTCTTTTTCTAAATATTAATACTTAAATATAAATATTTTCTATATTTTTATTAATCATATATATTTATCTCTTCTGTTATGTTTATATTTATATTTAAAACATTTTTCATATTTAATACAGTTTTTTTAAAAAATTGAAACATTGTGTTTATTATATTTCAATTATTATTTCAATTAGTTATATTTCAATTTGTTATCGAATTATTGTTTATTTTAATTTGTTGTAAACTATTGATTTTCTTTATAATTTAATAATTTGTGATTAATAAAATGTGAATAATTTAATAAATTATGTAATCGAAATCGTGGTACGAGTTGCATTGTTTTTAATTGTAATATTTCATTTTTAAAAACGTTCGTTTTTTCTTGTGATGTTTGCTGGTGCATTTATTTCCATATTTATTCTTTATTATTATTCAACTCAATACATGTTTCTTATTATAATTGGAAATTATCTGGTAACTAAATTGTTCTTTTCTCTTCATTCATCTGTATAATGATTAAATTTACAGATATCTATTATTATTTTTAAATATTATTTTATTCTTATATAATCAAATAATTCTATACATTTTATTGAAAATTCATTTGAAAATCTTTCTTTTTTTTTTGTGTAAATTATTAGTTGACAGATTGAATGTCGGATAAAAACAATAAGACGGGAAAAATTTCAATATGGATATTGTAACGATTTGGCGATAAGCGATAAAGTTTCTTTTTTATTTTTTAATAATCTTGTTTTTAGGAAAAATATCATATTTAATATTTTATTTTTTGTTAAAGATATTGACAATCTTTATGAAAATTTCCTTCGGATTTTAACATTGAAGAATATTTATGACCGGTCTGTACTTGCTTCGTAATAATATATTTTTTAATATTTTTAAAATTTCAATTCGATTATAATAATTTTTCATGAAATTAGAGTCAGTGATTGTTTGCTTATAATTTAACTATAAATCAAGTTTATAGCTTTTTTTTAATTTTTTTATACAAATATTCGTTTTTGCTGTGTATTCAAGTCAATACTTCTCTCAAAAGAATATGCCAATCATCCATCACGCGAGGAGGTAATCTTTGTACATTTTTTACCAACTTGCAGATCTTTTCTTATTTTAATTTTTTTCATATAATTTATACCGTATTTTAAATTATCATATACATTTTCTTATAGATATTTTTTTTTTTTATATTGACTTCGCAATGACATCCCATGGTAGCATGATTACAATACAATATCTTCGCATCAATGGTAAAATTTAAATTTGAAAAATCGAGGGCGAAGCTGAAACGAATGGACAGTGCCATTCGTTTCTGGCTT